AAAATACAAATGCATTCACAGTCACAGAGTTGGAAGAAATACTATTTGATTTTCAAAAAACCACTGAGCGTCTCCCACACGCAAAGAACCAGGGCCTAAGAGTTAACGTGAGAAGATGGGAATAAATGTTAGTGAGGAAGGCGTATTTCTTTTATTATTATTATTATTATTATTATTATACTTTAAGTTCTAGGGTACATGTGCATAACGTGCAGGTTTGTTACATATGTATACTTGTGCCATGTTGGTGTGCTGCACCCATCAACTCGTCAGCACCCATCAACTCGTCATTTTATAAGACACACGCACACGTCTGTTTATTGCGGAAGGCGTATTTCATCTGAGTCCAATCCCTTTATCGACCTTACCAACAGTAACCTAAATTCCGCTGGCTCTTATTCCTACCCGTTCACCCAGGACATTCAGCAGCTCGGACGTCTGTGAGTCTCTACAAAGGTCTCCTTACTGAAACCGAGGGGCCTTCTCCCTCGAGCTGATGTTGCCTCCCTACAAGGCACTAGGGATGTGGCAACGCCAAGTTAAACTCTGACAAAAATGGTGGGGGAGAAACACTTTCTTCTTTGCATTACAATCGCTTCAAAGGGTTCCAAACCGAAGCTACGTGCACCCCAACGCTTCGTGGAGTTTTTATTTTGTTTCATAAACTCACTCTTGATCTCTCACTGACAACCTATGCTTTGCATAAAATTCAGGGAACAAATACTCAGAATTATCACCACACCCTTAATAAAAGATTCTGTGTTACTGGGCTGTGCCTTTTTCTGTCCTCAGGAGGACTCAGGAGTGAGAGATGTTCAGATGCGTTTCAACACCTGCCGTTGACACCCCCTTGGCTAAAGCTCAAATCCCTGTTCCCAAACCAGAGCTCAGAGTCCTGTGAGGACAGGTGGGTGGGGGAGAAGCAGGGTCTAAAAATAAGTTTCAGAAATGAGCAGTGGGGCAGGGGCCTGTCTGTAATGTGCTGGAGAGTTGACGGGGTTGGAGTTCCTGGTGGCCGGGTGTCAGGCTGCTTTCAAGCTCAAGGTCATCATGCGGCTGGCAGTGGCTTCAACTCACAGCCTGCAGATTTTCATTCCCAAATGACGACATCGAGGCGTAAGGAGGTTAAAGTTCTTCACTGAGTTTACACAAAATGCTGGTGAGCTACGGAATCTGAGCTACAAAATCATTCTCTTAACACCACTAGGTAATTCATAAAATATATTAAAATTAGCGATCATCAGTGGACTCTTTGCAAGCATTTCTCTTCATATTCTAACCAGAAAGGGGCCTATTTTTCTCTATTTCCATCCTTATCAGATTCAGCACGTGTCTGTCAGTAAGCAGCCACTGGGCATGAAAAGGCACTACACTCTGTTGTTGGCACTAAGTCTATAGCAAACTTCCCCTCTGGCTTATAACAAAATAGTTTAAAATATGAGTATTAACTAGAAACTTTAATTAAACCAAAAAACATTTACTAAGCACCCACTATGTGCTGAGGAGGACGCGGGCACTGCAGAGAATACCAACATGAGTGATTTTGTTTGAAGGTCAAAGCAGATTCTGGAAAGATAAAAGTGAATTATGTCCTTCCTTTCGATTGCATACTTATGTACAGTCCTGCAAAACTTTTCATTTGTTATACAAGATATTCCATTATATAAACCATTTTGCCTTTTGCCCAACAGTGTTTCGATTTCTCCTCAATAAGCCTAGCACTTAGGTTGGTGTTAGGCAATGTCACATAAAGGGAGCTGAGATTCTTCAACTTGTAGTTAGAGTTTTCTCACAGTCCTGCTTTAGAGATGTGGTCATACTAGCAATATATTCCCCTCAATACCAGGTATTTGGGTTTCCAAGGTACAGCATTTGACTAGAGATTGCAACTCTGTCTTTGACGTTTTTCTAAAGCTCCAGAGTGGGTGCCATCTGCAGTGAGCAATGTAATTATATCAAGTCTGTCAGTGAAGACAACCATCCCAGGCATTTCGAGTCATGAGCTCTACCGTACCTGCTAGGGAGCACTTCATGATTCTAAGAATGGTGTTCTTTCTCCTTCCTCCCTCATTTTCAGGCCTGGGAGGGAAGCCCAAGCAAAACTTCCAGAGAAATGAGTGCACACTCAGACCTAAGTCTTCGGACATCTAGTTGACTTTGTCTTTTTTCTCTTAAGACATTGATCACCCAGTGACTGAGACCTCAGCGACAGTGAAGTTACTTTCTGGAGAGAGTTGTGAGCCTGGTGTTCAGGATTCTTGGGTGGACTCCTGAATATCAACTTCATAGCAGCCACTGAGTGTCTCCCAACCTTCTCCTTTGAGAAACAGGGCATGATGCCTGTTTTTACCACCTCTTACCTCCAAGCTTTTGAGAATACAAGATGAAATAATAAATTTAAAAGTCCTTTATGGCCTATGAAACTTACAATTATTCAAACTTAAATGTGAACGAACGTGACTAGTTTAAATAATTGCTCACAAATGAGCCACAAGTTGGTATTCATCAATGACTTGAAAAAAATAAAACGCCCAGAGTAGCTTCTCATATATTTTTGAGATAGTTAATTATCGTATTTCCCACAATAGGGGAGCCCTCAAATAACACCCAGTTGCTCCAAACTCTTAATATCTGAAATAGAAAAATGTATAGTGACAGATACAGAAACAAATCAGTGCGTTCAAATTCCCAGGATTCCTTCCTAGTTTGTCTATGATTTCCTATTGAACCAAATCGTGATACCTAAATAAGAATTCAATTTCAAATAATTAACCAGGTTGTAGCCACTTCTATTCTATAGCATCATTTTCACTCTCAGTTGAGCTTTTAAGAAAACAAAAGCAGAGTAAATAAAATAAATGCAATAGGGTTCAAAAAGAAAGATTTAGAAAGGCTTGACTACAAGGCATATTAGCAGTGCAATGATAATTTTACAGGGGGTTTAGATCTTCTAGGCTGTATAGTAAGAAAATATCTTGATTTAAAGATTCATTCATTCATCGATTCATCCATCAATCATTTGCTGATCTCTCCTAAATGACAGAAACTGGGTTGGGTAAAAGGTGGTTTTTGACTTCACAAAGCTCATGTCTAGTAGGAGAGAGAGAAATAACATTAAAGTATAATAAAGTGTTTCAGAAAGTGCATTTTCTAGAAAACTCTGCAACTATTAGGATGTGATTGTTCATGGGTGCAGACAGGAAACATGTTTAACAATGTCCTCAATAGCCCCAGCTCCAAGAAGGGCTCCCACCTATAGTGACTGGCAGATAGTTACTGAAATTCAAAGTGCATAACTAGCATTTCTTAAGAAACTTAGGAATAAATGATAAAGGATGTTATGTGTGTGTTAAGATGTTATTTTAACCTGCTTATTAAAGACAGGAAATTTGTAAGAATGTTTGCAATTCTTGAACTAGAAAATAAAGGCTGTCAATTTTTACTCAGAAGGCAACAAATTAATGAAATGTGAAAAGATATGAGACCACTTCAGATTCCAACCCTGTGAATATTTTTTTCAATTAGTTATGCTTAATTGGTTTAGTAGTTTTGTTGAGGAAAAAAATAATTCTAATGTAAGTTGGTAATATAGAAAAGAGGACATTTGAATACAAAGATTTTTTTTTTTTTTTTGGAGTATGGTAGCACGTACATGAATGGCAACTGAAAGCTGGGAAGTGTGTGGTTTAAGGCATCAAACCAGAGTCACACCAGGGGAAATATGTCTAAACAGAATTAACCTCAGTGTATTACCAATGTTTTCTAAGATTTTGTTTACACATACCAAAAAAAAAAAAAACAAAACAAATTAAAGTGGTCAAAGTATGAGTCACATAGTCAGTGTATTCGGGGAGTTTTTGAAATCTGTTATTTGGCATACTGGAAAAAAAAGTAATATTTCCGGCTACCCTGTTAAAAGTTTTTGTTAAATTATTGTTATACTGTGTAGATATAATATCAAAAAGTATCAAATTCATGAGGGAAAAACCTGGTGAAAAAGAATCCCAGAAAATTTTTCTTCAGAAATCTTATATTTTATCAAACATATGAAAGAGAAGCCTTTGGGAATATAATTGGAAATTGAAGCTCAAAGTACATCACAAAATTCATGAGAATGAAGTGTAATTTTATCGATTTTTTTTTACCCTGGAAGTTTGAGTCTTTCTTTGTCTAACCTGACAGACATTCACGGTGTTGACACCTCTCTGGTGTTTTCTTCTTTATTGCTGCAGTAACTAAAAAAGAAGAGCATGAAAACTTCATCCAATTGTAGCATTAAGCTCACTTCTAAATTGTATTAATAGCCTATGCTATGGGCATAATGGAGTAATAAATTAAGAAAATATAAAAAATAAACATAAGGTTTCATATTATTAAATGCTGTGGCAATTGTTTTACAGTAAAATTGTATAATGGAATTGTATAAGTTCTTTCAGCTCATGTCAGTTCAACTTTGCACGAGAGTGAGAGGACAATTTGTACAGTTTAGTCAATGGACCAATTCTTTTTAGCATTCCACTCAAAATTTTTATTCTGGGTGACTGTGAGAATGAGGCATTTTTAGCATATATCTAACTTTCACCCATTTCAATTATTATGCCCCTCTCATAGTAAAAGAATGTCACTGTAATTATTGCATGTTTAGTGTCTAAATATATGTTCTTGCTTTGCATGCACTGTCCTCTAAGTGCAAGCCATTTGTTTCACCTGGTGCTTGGTCAGTGAGAGAACATGCAGTCTGCTCAAATGTTGATGGGACGACAGGTCATGGTGGAATTATTACATGACTGGCCATGAGTCAGTTCCAATAGGGTACCTTCCCAAGGAATTAGTATGCACAATTGCTTTTGTGTGCTGGGCTGAGACAATAACCCTGCATAAAAATAAGAAGGCTAGGGCAATCTAGACAAACGATGACCATTTGAAATGGAGTTTCATGCCAGTGAATCTGTTTCACAAACAAATGGAACCGCACTTATGTACTGTTCTTAATATTTCAGAACTGACTGCATCCATCAGATTCTACACTGGTACAATTCATGCATGGCATGCACTACTTCAGAAAGAATGACAGACCGGGCGCGGTGGCTCACTCCTGTAATCCCAGCACTTTGGAAGGCTGAGGTGGGTGAATCACCTGATGTCAGGAGTTGGAGACTAGCCTGACCAACATGGTGAAACCCCGTCTCTACTAAAAATACAAAAGTTAGCTGGGCACGGAGGCAGGTGCCTATAATCCCAGCTACTTGGGAGGCTGAGGCAGGAGGATCACTTGAACCTGGGAGGTGGAGGTTGTGGTGAGCCAAGATGGCACCACTGCACTCCAGCTTGGGCAACAAGAGTGAAACTTCATCTCAAAAAAAAAAAGAATGACAGGTGTGGGGTCTTGCCTGCTTATCCAGAGATAAACTTGTCAGGTGAATTACATTTATGAACCTATTAATTGCCTAACTTGTCTTGGTTGTGTTATTTGTATAATAGTATGTTGGTTGTAACTCGTTAGTTATAAGTGCAGAGACCTTTCCACCAGTCACCAACTTCATGAGAAAGGCCTCTGCTAGGAAAGGAGGCATTTGTCTCACAGAGTCCAAAACAAAACCCAATAGCCAAACTTCAGCAAAGACTGAGACTGAGCTCAACCTCAGAAACAAGACCAGCACTTCTCCCCAACTCTCCTCTCTCCCTGCCCCCACAACAGTGACTTGGACTCATTTCTTTGCCAGAGTGGCTTCTTGAGTGGTGAGAGGCAGGGCTGCTGACAGTGCTTGAGTGTTTTGTTACCTCCTCACACTTCTCGCTGTCACTGTGTTTGTGTTACTGTCTAGCGTTACCATCAGTATTGCTCTCCTGTGTTACTAGTCTAGTGCTCCTATCACTATTACCGCTCTGTTACCAGTAATATTATTTGAGTGTTACTATTACAGCTCAACTCCTGGTGAGACATTGGTCTGAATCCTAAGTCCAAAAGCTTGTTGCAGAAAGACTCACTGGCCCTGCCTTGAGTCAAGTGCTCAACTCTGAGCCAAGCAACTGTGGCTCAGCACCAGGTAAACCAAGAATATGGTAGCTGCTTTGTGCATACAACTTGGATCTGGGAGTTGTGGTGTCCTGAAGATATTTGGGTATATGGAAAGAGAAAGAGAGAGAGAGAGAGAGAGAGAGAGGTAATGGATAGACAGGTAGATACGTAGACAGATATTTGATTGATAGATAGATAGATAGATAGATAGATAGATAGATAGATAGATAGAGATAGATGATAGATAGATAGATAATAGGTAAAGATAGATAGACAGACAGATAGATAGATAGATAGATAGATAGATAGATAGATAATAGATAAATAGTGACAGATGATTGATAGATGGATGGATAGATAGATATAGATACATAGTAGAAATAGATACATAGAAAGATATCTGGAAAACAGGTAAATAGAGAGAGATGATAGTGATAGATAGATTAGATAAATACGTAGGTAGACAGATAGATGACAGATAGTGATAGATAGATGATAGCTACCTAACTAGATAGATAATTGGTAAATAGAGATAGATATAGATAGATAGACACAAATGATAGGTAAATAGAGATAGATGATAGATAGATATCAATAGATAATAAGTAAATAGAGATAGATGATAGATAATAGGTAAATAGAGTTAGATTAGATAGATAATAAATAGTAACAGATGATTGATAGATGAATAGATAGAGATGTATAGATAATAGGTAAATGGAAATAGATACATAGAAAGATAGGTGGATAACAGGTAAATATAGATAGATGATTAATAGATGATGGGTAATTGATAATAGGTAAATAGAGATAGATGATAGTGATAGATTAGATAGATAAATACATAGATAGATGATAGATTAGATAGATAGATGATGGGTAGATTAGATAGATAGATAGATAGTGATAAATAGATGTTAGATAGATATATAGATACATAGATAGATAGATGACAGGTAAATAAAGATAGATGATAGAAAGTTAAATAGATAGCTAGAATCTTCACCTTAAATAGAAATAGCACAACAAAATAAAATTTAAAAAGTACCTGAGGAAATTCCTACAGAACAGTGAGCCTAGAGAAGTATAGTGAAGAGAGAGTTTATCAGAAAATAGCTGCATTAATAACATACGTGTGCATTAGCTGGAAGTGGGATAAAATTTAGCTGTCAGTTTTCTGGCCGACTTTGCAAGCTGTAAATAGAAGAGGAAATGATTCTTCATTTCCTGATTATGTGCCCTGAAGAAGCGCAGCAATTCTAGCATCCAGACAAAAGAAAAGTCTCTGCCTCAGCTGCAGGGTGGAGTGTGTTAAATGTCACCAACAACGTCCTAAGAGTGGACGTGATCATCCGGGTTGAGAGTTCAAAGGCAGAAAGCAACTCCACAAGAGCCAGTCGGCCAGTGAACCAAAGAGTTGTGGCCCAGGCTTTCTGTCCCTGCTAGTTCAGCTTTTATCAGGCATCTCTTCTGAATACCTGTAACAGAAGCCACAGAAATGCCATCAAAGGCAGGCAGGAGGAGATGCTGAAAGAAAGCAATGAAATATGGGGGACCCAACTCTGCCTAAATCCCCAGGCTACTGTTGCTGTGCTTCTGTTTTTGTTTTAAATACAGTGCTGTCCAAGTCTTCTGAAGCCACAGTCCATCACCTGCATTTGGATCAAAGCATTTTAGGGGATGGTCTCCAACTGGGCAAAGAGATTAGTCCTTCAGGAAAATCCCTGTAGAGCCTTCCCTTCTCAAAAAAAAAAAAAAAAAAAAAAAAAAAAAAAACCATGATTCTGACAAGCAGATGGCAGGGACAAATTTGGGAAATGAGAGTAAAGCATTTTTCTGAAGAATGTTGCTGAAACGCTTTCCTAGAACTCTTGAACTCAGGGCTTCTCATGAATCAAGGGCATACGTGTGGCCGGGTTTGTGCGCATGTACTCATACACTCACATATGCTGCATGTGTGCACACCATGTCCACACACACACGCACACCTTCACCCACACAATGTGCATCAAAGTCCTCATTTGCAGGCACACATGCAGACACTGCTTGTATAGTTTGGTCTTTGAGACAGCTATGCTAGGAGCATGCTAGGTAGAGGTTTTACCTCTTTCTGATACTGTTCGTTCCAAGCCTAGTGCTGCTCCTTCCCATATGGTAGCCACTGCCACGTGGGGTCATTGAGCCCTTGACATGTGGCTGATAAGAAACAAGATGTGCAGTAAGTCCTTCAGGCCACAGTCTTAGGTGTGAGGTCTAAATCTGATGAATTCTCCAACGAGCAACTCTGTTGAAAGTTCTGCAAATAATTTTCCTAAGAGTAGAAAAAATAACTTCCATTCTTTAGAACAATTAGCTTCCCAATTAACTTGAAATTCAAGCTGGATCTCAAAGACTTACTATGGAAAGAAAGCATTGAAAGTATCTCATAAATAATTGTTTATATTGACTACCTGTTAAAATGATGATATTTTATATTATCATATATATAGGATTAAATGAAATATTATTAAAATAAAGTCTGTCTTTTAAATTATTTTACTGTGGTAACCAGTACATTTAAAATTTTATATTGCTGAGTATCATAGAAAATAGAAATATATTCCTATTAAACCTTGTTGGACTAGATTGTAAGAGAAGATAGACATGTTGGCTGGAAGTTTCTTTTTTGATCCTCTTTGCATCCAAAGTAAGTTATTCCTCTGAGAGGAAAACTCAGAGTCTATTTGTTTCTTTCTCTCTTTTATCCTCCGTGGTTCTTTAGTCCCCAAGCCCTAAACTCTTGTCTTCCTACAAGTTCTATTTTGTGCTGCTTCCAAATCACTGAATTTGGAAACTGTACAGGTTCCAAATATATGAGATATACTCATAGTGACCAGAGTGGAGATGACCAGGTCCCCAGTGCTTGTATGAATCACAGAAAGTTCATCAGTATACAGAAATACTGACAGATAGACTTATAACGGATGACCCGGTCCCCACTCTGGTATGAGTCTATCTCTGTCAATATTCATGTAGACATTTGATATTTTCCAACAGACGTTTTCAATTCCCCAGTCCAGGGGCTCAGAACTCAGTGGTCTATGTCTGGTGAGCTAAGTGGCTCCATACATCCGGTTTTTCTCCTCACACATCCATTCTTTAGAAGAGACCAGATTCCCTTTTTCGTAAACAGCATTTCCACCACATTTCTCCAGATTACCAATTTATGACAAGGAATGATCAGAAGTGAGGTTGCCAGATAATGAAATCGGTACATTGGAAAGAGTCCTCCTAAAGTTGTGGAGAATGATTTCCTAGAGCTTTCCACTGCTAATGAAAAATTCCAAATTCTTGGTTTAGTCCTCTTGGTTTAGCCCTTGACAACTGGGTCTCTATGAAGCATTCTAGATTCCAGCTGACCCTGTGTGAGCCCCTGGCTTGCTCAATCATCCTTGGGGCTGCTGAACTTGCTTCTCTTAATTTCCTGTCCCCTCAGTTTACCCAAATCCTGCCTAATCTCCAAAGACCAAGTCCAATCTCTTTCCTTTCATTCGGCTTCCATCACAGCCCTGGACAGCACGGCCAGCACCAGTACTTTGTTATCATGAACTGGCCTATGCACATCACTACTTACTCATCAACTATTTCATTATTATTTACATCATGTATTTCACATCTTCTCAATTCATTTGAAAGGTACTTACAGCCCCAAACTCCTTCTCCCATTTCTTTTCATCTTCATTGACACAAAGACCAAGCTGGGCTCAGTGTGAGTCCCAATATTCTCTTTAACAAGTTGTTTTCTACAACACAGAGGAGTGCTGGCCACATGGCACCAGACCCTTGGGTTCCCTGTTCCCTGGGTGGAAAGGTGCCGTCTGTGGTGGAATAACTTGTTGACCATCAGGCATTCACTCTGTAAACACAATGTTCTGGTGGTACAGATATCGGTTGCCGGAGTGCTCTGATGAGAAGATGAAGTCTCCCCGTTTAGTCTGTACCCCACAAAGTTTCTCTAAATCTATAAAAGCTTCTCTGGTTCAGAGGTCTACGTGAACCCTGAACACAGGGCAATTTCTAGCCGTGCCTCAAGTGAGCCAACATCGTCCTTCAGATCACAGTTGAAGGGGGAAGCTCTACGGCTGATGGATT